TATCGTCACAGGGGGTGACCACAGTGTTCTGCCTTAAATTGTGGCGTTTTTCTAAGAACTGGGCCTTTGTACTGTGCGAAATCAATCGATCTTGCAAGAATAAATGTTTGGACATCCCTATTCTAAGAATTCCAATTGAGTGTGTTAGTGTGGCCAGCTCAGGGCAATATGATATTATAAACACCGTACATATCACGTCTCTGCTGTTTATAACTTCGTAGCAAAGAAAACACGACATTCATAACGGTGAAACCCGCTAGCAAGAGCCACAGGAACTTTGCTGCAAGACAGGCATATGTAACGATGACTTAGCGCAGATAAAGACGTGTCATATTATACTCTGTACTACTGACAACAGGCCAGCGAAAAATCTAACAATCTACAGCAAAACCATCAGTTATTATGGGCGTTATAACATAGGTGTGCAGCTGGACGAAACATACACGTCGAACCCCCCCAGACGATTTAAATACCTGACGAAACATACACGTCAAACCACGCCAACGGGTTAAAAAAAAGTAAATGCATGTATTTTAGCAACTTAAAGCTTAAAAGGTCTGCCGGGACAGGGGTGGAATTAAAATACCCTTTGCGCCAGTCAAACAGTTGCAGTTCAAATGGAGATAAATTAAATATTGTGTAAACTGAACAGTGTTTCAGAGAAATTCTGTAGCAGAAAAAATATTTGCATATGTGGGGAACTATTCACAGTTAATTACTGTAACATTTCATAGAACCAACACATTATATGTCACTTCGGTTCATATAACTGAATTTCAGTCAACACCATAAAATTTACATGATAAACAAGTTCCAAGGTTACAAAAGATTCTGCATTCTCTTGCAACAAGACTGCCAAGAATAGTGCTACAGAGGGCTGAAGAAACATTTCCTGCCGTGAAAGAAAGCATGGCGAGTGTCTTGTGCTTGTATGCACAGACTAGAATTTTATTGTCATATGTCAGTTCTCTTAGCCAAAGAATCTAAATATGTTGTGACAAGCTTGAGTTTGTTTTCATAATCCATGCGTGGGTTTCTTCCTGTGTCTGTAGACATTATAACAGTTTGGTATATTATGTAGGAGAGTGATCAACTCATGTAGAGTGATGTGGGTAGGTCATGTAGCACACATTCAAGTGTGAGAAATGCATACAAAGTTTTTGACAGAAATGCAGAGAGAAACAGACTACTGGAGCCCTATGTGTATGTGGAAGGACGCTATTAAGACAGATTTTAAAGAAATAATTTGAGAGGGTTTGGACTGTGTCTAGTTTCCTCAGAATACAGGCCCAAGTTGTCCCCGTGAGACCACATTAAGGAGCCCTTAGATATCATCAGGGACACCAATCGCTCAGCCACTGAAGAATTTTCCAACATATTATGGAACCTGAAAGTTCATTGCCATGTTTACAAGAGCCAGTCAGTAGTCCCTATAATAAGCCAGATCATTCCAATCCACACCGCTCATTTCTTTGTCTCTCTAAAATCCATTTTAATGTTATCTTTCACCTAGGCCTGGGCATACGATATCATAGTTTGTTGAGGTACTATGCTACATTCACTAAGGACGCAGGTTCGATTGCCGTTGGAGGTAATTGAATTTTTCAGTTGGTCTAATGTGACTGTGTCATGACCCTGGGGTCAACTCAGTCTGTAACAGCAATAAGTACCAGGAAATATGTAAATTCTGACAGTCTCACTTCCATCATTGAGCCAGTTGTTAAAAAAATGTGGTAGCCTTGATGCCTCACAACCCTATGGGCCTCCATGGCATGTTGCAGGGATAGCTTTACCTTTACATTTACACCTTGTCTTTCTCCTGGTCTCTTTCTTTCTGACTTTCCCAGCAAAATCCTAAATGAATTATTCTTCCCCATGTGTGCTGTGTGGCCTTTCCATTTCATCATCATCATCGAGTTGATCATTCTAATCATGCTTGGTAAAGGGTACAAATTATGAAGCTCCTCCTCATACAGTTCTTAAGGCCGCGCAATACATCAAGCGGTTAGTCGCTGGCTTCCCACCAGGGTGGCCTGGGTCCGATCCCGGGTCTGGTCAAGTGGGATTTGTGGTGGACAAAGTTGAGCTGGGGCGGATTTTCTTCGAGTACTTCAGTTTCCCCTGCAGATATTCATTCCACCAAATTCACCATCATCATAATCACTCAAGGCAGGCTACGGTAGGCCAATCAGTGGCTGCCCAGTTGGACTCCACCTCCCACTAAGCGAATTAAAAAGGAAATATACAGTTCTTAGGTACCATAAGAAACAGATATTTTCCATGCTCCTGCAGTGGCCACTAGTTAGGCAGGAAGGTCTCTGTGCTAAGAACTTAATACATTCTAATACTTTTGAAAGCTGTAGAGAAGAAATCTCTACAGAACAGCTCTTGTGGGCTAGAAGTGCTGGAGAAGCACTGTAGTTAGAAGAGCATATGCTGTTTTGTGTATGGTCTTGTACAGCCATGAGTGATAAGATATGATTTTACAGAACTATGCAAATTTAGAGAAGGTACTAGTGGGTCCACATGGTGAGATGTACGCAGCATGGCATCATGCAAATGAGGCAATGAATGTTAAAATTGAGGAAGTCTCAGATACAGCAGAAGAGGATGCTCTGCGAATAACAGTTCAGGAAATGAAGGCTGAACCTGAGGTGAGCTGTATGTTTTTGTTTGTCCACTATTCAGAAGATAGCACAGATATGCAGAAATTCCAGTTGTCTTTCTGATCTCCATCTCTGTCTATGCAAATGGAACAATTTCACTGTGCTGCCAACTGACTTTGGGAGCTTTTTCTTAAGTGCTTGTGACAGTGGAAGTTTGTTGAATCTTGCTTGTGATATACCACATCCATTTACTTTTTAAATAGATGAAATATATATGAGATTAAATACTGTTTAAATTCAAAATGTTTGAGATAAATTCTGTTTCAGGAAAAATCTTTACAGATTTAGGGAACTATTCACAGTTAGTTGCTGGTACACTTATTAGAACCAAGGCATTTTATGTCACTTGGGTTCTCACATGTTAATGTCAGTCAGCCCCACAAAATATCATAAACAAAATATGATAAACAAGTTTCAAGGTTACAAAAGTTTCTGCATTCTCTTGCAACAAGACTGCCAAGAATTGTGCTACAGAGGGCTGAAGAAACATTTCCTGCTGTGAAAGAAAGCATGGTGAGTGTCTTGTGCTTGTATGCACAGACTAGAATTTTATTGTCATATGTCAGATCTCTTAGCCAAAGAAAGTAAATATGTTGTGACAAGCTTGAGTTTGTTTTCATAATCCATCTGGGGAGTTTCTTACACGTGTAGACATTATAACCGTTTGCCATATTATGTAGGAGAGTGACCAACTCAGGTAGAGTGATGTGGGTAGGTCATGTAGCACACATTCAAGAGTGAGAAATGCATACAAAGTTTTTGACAGCAATGCTAAAGAAGCAGACTACTTGGGAGACCTATGTGTAGATTGAAGGATACTATTAAGACAGATTTTAAAGAAATAATTTGAGAAGGTTTGTACTGGGTATGTTTGCCTCAGGATACAGAGCCAAGTTGTGTGAAGACATTAAGGAGCGCTTAGATGCCATAATTAACTCCATGGAGCTGAACCTTTCTTGATACAGTGTCAGTTGCGTTTGCAACTGAAAAATTTTGCAGCAACTTAAGAAACTTGAAAGTTCATTTCCACGTTGACAAAAGCTCTTGCCACAGGTCCCTATGCTGACCCAGATAAATGCAGTCTACCCCACTACATCCTGTGTTGTAAGATCCATTTCAGTATTCTTTGACCTATGTCTGGTTGTTGTTAGTGGTCTCATTCTTCCTGGCTTTCCCACGAAGATCCTACATGCATTCCTCTTTTCCCCCGTGCCTGCTGTGTGCTTTTCCATCTCATCCCTTTTGACTTGGTCATTGTAATTGTGGTTGGCAAAGGATCATGTTATGAGGCTCCTCATTGTGCAATTTTTAGGAGTCATAGATATTTTCTGCTCTACTGCAGTGATCATTAGTTTCTCAACAAGGTTACTGTGCTTTGAACTCACTACCTTCTAATGATTTTCAAAGCTGTAGAGAAAATATCTGTACAAAGCAGCTGTTATGGGTTTGATGTAATGAAAAACAGTCACTGCATGGAAGCCAGACACCGTTTCATGTATGATGTACAGTCTTGATTGATAAAGATATGATTGTTTTACAGAGCTACACAAATACAGAGAAAGTTTTAGTGAGTCCATATGGTGAGACATACCTAGCATGTTGCAATGGAAATCAGGACATGAATATTAAAGCTGAAGAAGACTCAGACGCAGAAAAGGAAGCAGATCCTCTCCCAGTAACATTTCTAGAAGTGAAGGGTGAACCTGAGGTGAGCTTTATGTCTCTGTACGTCCATCGTTAGGGAGATATCACAGATATGCAGAAATGCCAGTTGTCTTTCTGATCTCCCATCTCTCTCTGCATACATGAAAATTTCATCATGCTCTTCACTGGATTTTGAAGGGATTTTCTGAAATGTCTGAGACAGCTTTAGTTTGTTGAATGTTCCTTCTGATTTGCCACTCCTGTTTTCTTTTAATAAGATCTAGCATAGATTAAATTAAATATTGTATAAAGTGAAAAATGTTTGAGACATATTCCATTGCATGAAAAATCTACCACATATCCCTTGTCCATCGAATCCAGTAAGCTGTCCTTTTGTACTACATTACAGGATTGACAGGATCATGTTATGAGGCTCCTCATTGTGCAATTTTTAGGAGTCATAGATATTTTCTGCTCTGCTGCAGTGATCATTAGTTTCTCAACAAGGTTACTGTGCTTTGAACTCACTACCTTCTAATGATTTTCAAAGCTGTAGGGAAAATATCTGTACAAAGCAGCTGTTATGGGTTTGATGTAATGAAAAACAGTCACTGC